AAGATGGAGGGGTGCACGTTGGAATGAAACTCAAAATCCTAGCATATGCCGATGATATAGCTGTCCTCGGAAGTAATCAAGAGGATATTGAGAGACTCGCTCGGACTCTATTAAAAGAAGCAGAGCAAATCGGACTACAGGTCAATGTAGATAAAACAAAATACATGATAGTTAGCCGAAACATCCACCCTAATAACATGATCTGCGTGGATTCTAAGTCATTCCCGAAAGTAGACAGATTCAAATACCTCGGCTCCACAATAACCTCAATAAATGATCAACTAACAGAGATAGACCAGCGAATAACAAGTGCGAACAGATCTTTCTTCTCTCTTTCAAAGGTACTGAAATCCAGAAAAATCTCCAGAAATCTAAAAATAAGGGTGTACACCGCCGTGATTAAGCCAGTTCTGCTGTACGGTTGTGAAACCTGGGCTCTAACCGGCACACTAGAAGCCAGAATTGAGAGATTCGAAAGAAAAGTTCTACGTAGGATAACAGGACCTATATGGGACCAGAACCTTGACACATGGAGGAGAAGGAACAATAAAGAACTGCTGAAAGAAACGGTCAGTCAATATCTCATGATATGAAGGCAAGGAGGTTAAGATGGGCGGGGCATGTAGCTCGTAGCAATCCATCAGGACGCCTTTACACAACAATCAATGCCAGACTAGTAGGCAAGAGACCGTGGGAGGCCAAAAACTAGATGGAAATATAGGATAAACAAAGATATGGCTGAACTTTATGCCGCAAACTGGAAAGCAGTAGCCCAAGATAGGCAGAGGTGGAGAAGGCTAGTTCAGGCGGCCAAAAATCTAAAAGGCCTGTAGAGCCAACCGAAAAAAAAATATATATGTGTGTATATATATATTTATATAACTTAAGATATGAATTAGAGTCGGATAATAGGTCAAAAAATTTCATGACCTATTATCCGACTATAATTCATATCCTAAGTTATAATATATAAAGGTCTAATTATAAAAAAACATTGTAATAAAATATATATTTATATATAATTTCTCTCCAAAAAGTCCAAAATCAGACACTACAATACAGTAGTAAAGCCAGTGATACTGTATGGAACGGAGACGATGTTCTTTCCCAGTTTGGAGAAACAGCTGAAAATAGAATGAAGGATTCTTAGAAGAATCCATCGGCCCAAAATTACACCACAAGGATACAGACTGAAATCCAATAAGGAAATTTATAGTGAAACCTCTGATTTGGAAACGGAAATGAGGGTAAGAAGACTTAGGTTTTATGGACACATGCAAAGGATCACCGATGAGAGGTTAAACAAGAAGATTTTCAGTAGGGTTATGGGATACAAGTTTAACCATGGAGGAAATATAAGAAATTCCTGAAAAGTGCGGTGCATGTGGTGGACAGTAAGGAACTTCCGTCCAGGAGGAAGTGGACGGAGGAGAGGAAGACAAAAATTAGCGAAATCCTCAAGCAGAGATGGGGAGAAAGGAAGAAATTGAAAAAGAAACCAGTATCATAGTCGAGTAGCCCTTCAGGGCTGTTTCGCGTCAAATTAATAAATAATATACGTAGATGTATATGTGATGAAGTAATGTTTTTTTTTTGTTTTGTTTTTATTGATTTCATCTTCACCTTCAGTCTACTTTCCGTTTGTCACTACATCAAATAATCTTTTTAGTTTTATTCGGTATTTATTTGTATGTTAATGAATCGTTTGACTCCTAAAAATTCAATAAGAAAATATAATCTTTAAGAAAAAAAAAACCTGTATCACTCATTACAACTCATGGATGATCTTGAATACTTGGTAAGAAAACGTTTTTTATTGGTTAATGGTTGTGCAAGAAGGTGTTTTGCCCAAGATTGCGCTAAACCGTGTTGGCTCCTTTTTACTCCAAAACATCGTAAATAGACACTTTCAAAAGGTTTTCAAGGAAACCTCAATATTGGATTATGAAGAATAAGAATGATTAGATGAGCGTAGCTCAAGTTGGTTGTGAATGAGTCTTAAGAAGGGTATAGTTAGTGTTGCATGTCTGAAATGTAGTATTTGGAGGGGGCTTTATTATGTACTAGGGTTGGGTGCGCAACGAGTTGGTACTGACTTAAGGTGACACATTTAAAGCTTTAAGATACGTTTATTTATTTAACAAGATCATACAGTTACATGGTTATGATTGGTGCCGAATCATTACTTATGCACGATAATGCTAGCGGCATCATGTATTCATAAAATAGAGTAACCAGCAAAAATACTGGACCTTAAGCCAATCAAGCATGCGTATGACAAACTTAAAAATGAAGATCCGTAGCGATTTTATCTTCCTACTAGGCTTGAAATATGATTGGAAGAAACCCCTTAAGACTTCATTTAAAAACCGTTTGGTGAGAAGGCCAACAAGTATGCCAGCAATTATCAATGACTAGAGGAGGCAATACTTCTTACTAAATGTCATTATAAGCATATAAGAATTTAATTTAGTAAAAAAAATATAACATTTATTTTATTTATGTTTTTCTTCTGCTTTTGAGTGAATTTGTAGATGTTGGTATTTTTTTGGTAAGGAGTATAAATATAAAAGCTGTCCAAATGGGTATCTAGATCAAGAGGATAACATAATAAAAAATTGAGTAGTATTAAAAAATTTGTAAATCTCTGCTTTTTAACTTTGACGTCACACCTTGATATGCGACTGATATGCGGCGAAACTTTGAAGTTTTCAGATAGCAACTCCTATTTTTAATATCTCATTTTGCCCCTTCATTTAGACGATCGACGATTCCTTTCTTTTCTAACAACAATGCGGTAAAGAGTTTGCTTCTATTGAAGGCGCAAACCGAATTAAAGCAGGAAAATAAATTTGAAAAGGATTTTTTTGCATAAAAGTAATAATTAATTGCATTTTATATATAAAACAAAATTTACTTTATCTTTTGTATTTTCCTATACCTTGCTATAATAAGTCTTTGTTAAATTTATTTTACTGGAAAGACTTTTATCGTAATACATTTACATAATATAACAAATAATAATTGGACTATATCTATTCAATATTCAACACATTTTGTCACACATCTTTTAAGTTGTTAAATGCGATCTCTACTCATAATTGTCATTAATAGAACAATTTTGTTCGAGTATTAATTCGCTAAATTTATTTTAAAAGTATTGGCCCAGCAAGAATGAGAATTTATCCCCAGGACAAATGGTGGTTAGGCTATAACCCCTCCCACCCTTGAGTCTTGGCCCCACCCACCCAGGGAAGTTGGCCCTGAGGTGACTACTGTAAATGATCATGTTTATAAATAATTGTTAAATGTACTGTTCTACCGTGTGAGAGTCCCTTGTTCTGACTCAGGTGCCTGGAGGAGCGCTATTCTCCACTAATCTAGGACTTGGACTGATTCCGTTCCTGGGGCGTAGAAATCTGCTTTCCGTGGTGATCCAGCTTCTTCTATACCCAGATGATATTGCTCTCATTGCAGACTCTTGACGTGTTGCACACACCGGACTACCAGGAAATGAGGCAGCAGATAAAGCTGTTAATATGAATATCTCACCTCGCCAAATATACGAGCCGAGGAATGTAAAAACATTGCTAAAAGACAGAGTACGAACAAATTGGGAGTCCATGTGGAATGAAATTCCAGCGACTAATAAACTTAGAAATATTTTTAAAAAGTACAAAACAGTGGATAAGTGCTGGAAGTGGAAACAGAAGAGAAGAAGTGGTAGTGAGAAGGATAAAAATTGGTCATACTAATGTGACTCATGTCCATTTAATTACAAAAGAGAGCCAACTATATTGTGATATCTGCCAGTTCCCGCTAACCATAAAGCATATAATAGAAGATTTCCATTGCTACATCAAGCCTTTGTAAAAAACAAAATACTCCGTTGTAGAGAACTACCATTGAAAGACTTAGTAGATTCAATAGAAAATATTATAAATCTTTTGAAACAAACACAATTGTACCATAAAATATAATAATTAATGCAAATTACGTTAACTACCTTCAATAAATTAATTACCTTAATTAACATTTTAACACCCCCCAAATATAATTTTAAATTTATACATTCAGAAAGATAAATTAAAAATAACACCATAGTTTAAGGGCGTAATAACCAAGTTGTTGACTACCTATGAAAACTCGTAACCTAACTTAAACTTGACATGTTGCGGCAGACATTGACGGAATGGTACGAAGATCTCCGCAAAAAAGGGCTGCTTATCAGTTTTGGTTAAACAAGATCCTTCAGGCAGAAAGGGAACTGGAAGATTTTCAAGTGTACTATAACGGAGAATAAAGAAAAGTAGTCGCGCACTTTACCTACCTCGGAACAATAAGAAAACGTCTGGGAAAGTGAATTCAAGAAGGATTGCAGAGAAATAGGAAGACACTGTATCCGTAATAAAAGTAACAGGTAGGAACTAGGATTCCTCTCAATGAAGGTCCCAAAGGCTCGCAAGCTGGTTCGGCCATGTCGTCAGGAGAGAGGAACATCGAGATCCATTGAACAAGGATGTCTTACCTGGAATACATCAGAAAGGAGGAAAAGTTCTCTGCCACGCCAGGAACCTGGCGATAAACATAGAGGCAATCCTGGCTATACGCTCCACTGCTCTCATAGCCACAACAGGGCACACGCAAAAGTAGATGAAGATTACCTATCAATTTTAATCTTTCAAAGTCCATTAGGAACGCGATTTCGAACGATGGTCCGCATCAGAATCAGCATTCCTTAATGTCCTGCATTATTTTATTTAAGGCGATAACTAAACAATTTTTTATTTATAAAATATTACTATTGGTTATATTACTATATTATTAATTATAACTATATTATTATTGGTTTCTGATATCTTAAATAAATGGATAGCACATAAACTTATAAACTATTTACATATTTCTCCTAAAAATACTATTTGAGTTGATTTGAATAAAATTTAAAACATATTTATTTTTTCTAGAACTTCAGAATAGTTAAGTCGTTAATAACTTACTTGGAATAAAAGATTTGCCAGGTATTTGGATAAGACGCAACCGTTTTGGTCGGTAATACACCCTTCTTTTAGATTGTAGCTCCCAAGCCCTGACGGCCTAAAACAATGATTTATTATGATTTTTATTTATTTATTTAGACATATAATATTCTGTCACGGGGACAATAATTATATTGATAAATGAACACATTATATACAAATAAAAAAATTAACAAAAGTAACATAATAATAATAATAATAATTAATAAAACTATATACAATAAAAAAAATAAAATAACCTAAATATAAGTAAATTAAAAACATAAAAATACAGTCATACCTGAAACAATGATTAAAAAATAAATAAATAAACAAACAAATAATAATTCTGTTAGTTAAATATTTGAGAAATATTTTGAGTATAGAAATAGAAAATAACTTTATTCTGGGACAAAGTTCCTTTAGAAAAACAAAGTAGAACATAATTAAAATACTACATCTGGCCAAAATAAAACAATAATAAAAAAGAGAAAGTAAAGAAAATATTAGTTAAACAAGCTATATACAAAAAAAAATCTATATACAAAACACTTAAAACTATGATAAAACACTTAAGACTATGTACAGTAGGAAAAATTATAATTATAGTCTTTTGAAAAATAAAATAATAAAAAATACATTGAGTTCTTCTTTAAAATGAGGTGTGTTTCTGCTAACAAAGAAAAGACAAAGCTGACAATATAAAATATCAGTGTCTTTAAATAATGATTAATATGTAGACTCATCATTGTCAAATGCTAGAGGTGCAGATTTAATTATATACCAATAAAAAATAATAATAATAATAAAAAAAACAAACATAGATGCGGTCAGTGGCATTAACAGCCGGAAAATATTGTAATATCTCTAGTGAAGTTCTCAGTATAGAATAGCACGGTCGTTTGATGATGACTAGAAGTGTATAATATTGAAAGTTTAGCAAGTATCTGACTGTTTTTGGGATATGAATTGGAATAGGCGGGATTTGAATGTGGATATGGAGAGGGAATGCCGAATTTTGTTAGGTAGAGAATTCCAGAAATTGACAGCGCGAGCTATAAAGGAATTCTGAAATGAGGCAGATCTGTGCGAAGGGATGAAGAGGTCAGAAGGTCGAGATCTTGTTGAAAGGGAATGGACTGAGGACTTGAATTGGAGAAGGTTGTAGGCGTAAGAAGGACGATGGTCGTTAATGATTTGATAGAGGAACGTACCCAGGAAATATTGCCTTCTAAAGGAGGGGAAGAGCCATTTTAACTCAGTGTAGTGGTGAGAGACATGGGGGTATCTCGGGGCACCGATAACTAATCTTACGCAGCTATTCATTAATCTTTTCAGTCTATCACGGAGCTCCACCGAGAGGCCATCATACACCACACAGCTGTAGTCAAAGTGGGGGAAGATGAGAGAGAAAATTAGGAGTCTACGGGTATGTTGAGGTAGGAGATGGCGGAAGCGATGAAATAGTTTAAGGGTAGAAATTGTCCTACGGGAAATGTGAGAAATATGGTAGTTCCAGGAGAGGGTTTGATATATGAAAAATCCTAATTTTTTAACAGAGGAGTAGAAGGAAATTGGTTGGTCATTAAAGTGTAATATGGGAAAGTCAGCATGGGATCCAATAAGGGGCGTGGAACCAATGGCAATGGTCTGAGTTTTGGCAGCATTTAACTTTAATACATTTACATTTGCCCAGGCACTGATTCGATCAAGGTCTTCTTGAATCTTGGCAAATGCTACCAATAACTCAGAGGGAGAAAAGGATAGGTAGATTTGGGAATCATCTGCATAAAGGTGGTGGGAACAATGGAGAATTGAATTATGAAGGTCGTTAATGTAGGAGTTGAAAAGGAGAGGAGATATGCTTGAACCCTGGGCAATTCCGGAGGATAAAGGAAGGTAGGTAGATAGTGGTTGATTGGGTATGGAGACTGCTTGGGTGCGTTGGGAGAGGAAAGATTGGAACCAAGAGATGGAACTATTGGAGAAAGATAATGACTTTAGTTTGTTGAAGAGGATGGAATGGTTGATGGAATCGAAGGCTTTGGAGAAGTCGAGGAGGATAAGGACAGTTAATTTTCTATCATCTATTGCAGATTGAATGTCGTTGGTAATTTTAATTAAGGCAGATTGTGTGGAATAGAGGGGACGGAAACCAGATTGGAGAGGATCAAATTGGTTGGACTTTTCGAGGAACTTGGAGACTTGGGATTGCACCAGTCTTTCAAGAGGCTTTGAGAGGTTAGAAAGAATTGAAATTGGACGGAAATCTTCGGGTGAGGATGGATTAGGCGTTTTATTTAAAGGAAGAACAATGGCTTTTTTTCCAAGAGGTAGGGAATACTGAATTCTGAAGGGAGAAATTATAGATAAAAAGGAGAGCTGGAAGGATTTCAGGGAGACATATTTTTATTAATTTGACAGGGATGTCGTCTGGCCCTATGGAATTGGTGTGGGATTTCATTGCCGCGGTTAACAGGTCTGTGGGAGAAATGTCGGAAAACTAAAAGTTATTGTCGTTGAAGGATATCTCTGGAGAAAACCCGGAAGAGGAAGGTAGAGAAGAGGTATTAGCGACAGATATAAAATAAGAGTTTAAATCATCGGAGGATACAGGAAAGGCTGCGGTAGGGGATCTGGAAGGATTACAAATGGAAAGTTTACGAAGCAGTAGCCATTTCGATTTGATATCAGGAGCTGAGGAAAGGGTTTCATGGAAGTAGGAAGCTTTCGCAAGCCGGATCCTTGTCTGTGCCAAGTTGCGAAGCACCCTGAACGCTTGGTAGTCAAGCCTAGTATGTCTGAAAGCCTAGTAAGTATACGTTAAAAAATAAAAAACATATATCAATTTGACCTGTAATATCGAAATTTCATTACCGAAACAAATCATGACTCGTCTCAGATTTATCTGTTATAAAAAAAAAATAGCGTAAATAAAAAAAATACGGATAATCGAAAAAAAAAAATTTTATCTAAGAAAATTGATTGCAATTTGATTAATTTTGTATTACTAATATGTTTATTAACCCTCATAAATTTACTTTACTTAGGCGGACATTTTGAACTGGTTTTCCATCTTTATGACTAATTCTTCATTAATAATCTAAACAGAATTTTACGACATCTATCAGGTTTGTATATATGGTACACATTAAGCCGCTTTTACTCATCATGAGAAACGGGAGTGTGTAAAACTGTTGTTTTTTTTTTGTTTTGTTTTTTAAATAATTCTAACCAAATTTTAAATCAAAATACTTCTCCGTAACACTAGAAAGGTAACACCTCCCTCACAACGAAGTTTCTTTTGTGTGTGTTTTAGGTGTTTGAGAAATGCATAAAGCCGCCTATATATAAATTAAATGGAATTTTAAAACATTAAAATGATTGATACGTACAAAATAATACAGGAAACTATGAAAATACTAATAAAATTGGTTGTGCTTTAAAAAAAAATACAGGTTCTTCACATACCAATGGAGCATGTCTTATTCTATCCATTAAAAAATCGGCGGCCATCCCATATTTCCTCCTCTTCTGTAACTTTTTAATTATGGAATAGTCCCTGTCGTAACGCAGGCGTTCAAACTTTCCTGTAAAGCGAAGATAACATTATAATAAGCGAAGATAGCTGTAATAATATCTAATATCGTTAAGATGGATTAAGATTTTAAAAATATTTTAAAAATCTGTCAAATTATGGTAAAATTGTTGAGGTCACGGAGTAATTCGCTAAAGCGAAGGATGTTTCTCAAGTGTTATACAGGGTGTTTCAGGGTTAAGTGGCCAAATTGAAAATATGAATTAAGAACCTCAAAACAAGAAACAAAATCCTATGAACGCATACCCGCAAACGCTTTGTTTAGGAGATATTCACACCTAAAGATTTTCATTGTTCTGAATCATTTACGTTATATTAAGTAAATAAAACTTATTCATTTGTTTCAACTACTTTATTAATTAAACGTAAACATGAAATTGAACATTAAATGTTGTTCAAAGTGAAGGTAGGCCCACGACAATGGCTTAATGTTAATTATCCCAATCAATGGATTGGCCGTGCAGGACCAGTGTTTTGGCCTGCACCCTCTCCAGTCCTGACACCACTGGATTTTCCTGTTTGGGGTGACATTAAACAAAAAGTCTATGCAAGTCCGGCCAGTGACCTTACTTCCTTACGAAGAAGGATATTTGAATCTTGAAGAAACTGTTGAAGAAAGATGCCGAGCCTCTCTTAATGTACAAGGAAATCACTTTGAACAACATTTAATATGAATGTTAATGTTTACATTTAATTAATAAAGTAATTAGAACAAAGAAATAGGTTTTATTTATTTCATATAACGTAAATAATCCATAAAAATGAAAATCTTTAGGTCTGCATATCTCCTAAACAAAGCGTTTGCGGACATACCTTCAAGGATTTTTTTTTTTTGTTTTGAGGTCCTTAGTTCATTTTTGCAGTTCGGCCAGTTAATCCTGAAACACCCTGTATATATGTTGATCAACTCAGAACCCTTCTACACCCCGTGGAAAATTTGGCAGCTCATAGCTCTAAATCTTTTCCAGCTGTATATGGAAACTATGGAGTTGCCAACGTCTTAGCAGTATGAAGCTTTCCATTCATAGATGATTGCAACACAAAAAATTCATGAGAACATTTTCAACAAGTTATTCCCTGTGACCACAGATTTTACTCAAGGAGTCAAAACAATTGAAAAACAATACTGAAACCTATTATTTTAACAAATTGAGATTTCATCAATACAATGTTGTGTTTGAGTCTAAATAAATATATCATGTCAAAATTTCCTGAATGAAATTCGGCAAACCAATCTTTACAGGTGCGTTCGGTTAAGGCATCATTCCTATAAACACTGCAATTTTTTCTATGAGCTTCTGCAGCACGCTTACCTTTTTTGAAATAATACAAATAAGCCGATAATAAATGATATTTTCTTCCATATTCACAGTGCCATAGCAAACACAATATTAAGCTAGTTTTAACAACAGTTAACAGATATAGTTGTTGACATATTACAAACAGGATAAACAATCCACCTTAGGGATTAATTCATAAGATAAGAAATGTATCATAGTGACATAAAAATTAAAAGAAAAACCGAAAGGACTTATTAGGCCAAAGTTAGGTCAACCCAACGTATACATCAATATATAAATTATTTTTATTTTACATGAAAATCTAGACCCTAGTGGTTTATAATTCATTTTGGTTGATGATTTAAAATAATTGATACAGACCTTTCATTGCAAGGCGGTCCATCTGATACCACCTTTCTCTGTTTCTCATTCTTCTCGCCGAATAGTTGAGGTAATCATTAAAAATGATAAAATCTCTTCTTAATAAGCTGGTCTGTTCAGCTATTTTCCTATCCCAGTTTAAATCGAGCTACAATACAGAATTAATATTAAAAATTGTTACAATAATTTGTAATTTAATTTAATTTAATTTGAAATCGTCAATTCATAATAAACGACTAGAATAGGAAAGAGTGGTTATGTTATGGGCAAGGCCCGGATTTGTATGCAGAAACAACCCACAGAATATGCCGTATAATATAACAGTAAAAAACCCTGAAATATGCATCTAAATATGTAGTAAAAAAACATGGAATATGCAGTAATTGATATCTAAATATACTAAACTTACTAATTACTTGATTACTAATATATCAATAACGCATTTGAATATAATGACGTACCTACAAACATTTTTGAAACGTTAATTAAAAAAATTTATTTTTTTTATTTTTAAACTAAAGAATGAAAATAAATAAACTTATAGGGCTAATAAGGTTATATATACACGATAACGGTAACGAAAACATAACATAAATCGCATTAAAAAAACTAAATATCGAAATAGTAAAAATTATATACAAACGAAAAAAGCAATAATTGTATTAACACATAATCAAATAAGCATGGTAATAAAATATAATAAATATGGAACATTAATTATGTAAACACTTATGTGTAATAAGTGTGTAAACACTTAATTCTGTAACAATAACAGAATTAACCACCAGTTTTTTTATTTTTTTTAAATTATATTTTATTGAATAATAATACAATCAGCCACTGTTGGAGGGCTATAAGTATTAAGGCTAGAAGTTCTCATTCATACAGTATATACAAGTAATACAGAAGTAACTATAAATATAAAAAGTAAATAAATAATACTTATAAAAAAATGTAAATCAATAGGAAAAAAAATAATAAAATAAAAAAATAAAATAAAATAAATAAACAAACAAAATAAAATAAAAACTTCTAAATACATTCATACCTATATACAATATATACATTCGAACAGGAATCTCCGAGCCAGGCCTTTCTCCCCACAAGTGGAAAGCAAAGCAGGACTCCAGAGATCCCAGTGCCACTTTTCCAGCCGCACCACTAGTATTAAAAGCCAGTGGAGGCTGAAGGAGGGCACTAGAGCCACAGATGCTCAGGACTTGAGTGGAAAAGCTGGCCATTGCCAGGACTCCAGAAGCATATTTACAATAGATCTCGCGGCCACTGCCGTTTTAACCTTCGAGGGGGATTGTAGGGATGGTGGGAGCTGGATAGGGATTGAGCTAGAGGATTTGGATGATGGATAAGGTTATGGTGAAAGTTTGAGAATCTGGATAGGATGATGTCGAGGACAAATGGGATGATAAGGTCATAGTGTAGGGTCTTATTTGTGACATAATATGGGGCACTGACTATTGTTCTAAGTACTTTGGACTGGAAGGATTGGATGCGTTTGATATTCGAATGTTTAGCAGTTCCCCACAGTTCAAGTCCGTAGGTCCAGATAGGTTTCAGTATTGTCTTGCAGATTAAAAGTTTATTTTCAATCGAAAGATGAGATGTCCTGCTTAGTAGTCTATATAGCTGGCCATATCGTTGGTTAAGTTCTTGTCTTTTAAGTCTCGTATATGGGTTCCAAGTTAGTCTTTTGTCTAGAAGGAAGCCAAGGTAATGGACTATATCTGAGTAGGGAAGTGGTATTGTGGTAAAGGATTGTGGGATAGGATCTGCGTCGCAGGGTGAAAGTAATATGTTCGCGTTTTGCTTCATTGATTTTGATGCGCCAGTTGTTGCACCACTGCTCGATCAAGGAGAGGTGAAATTGTAGGTTTTGAGATGCTATTTGAGGATCTGAGTGGGAGGATAGAATGGCAGTATCATCAGCAAATGTAGCTAGGAAGATATCGGGATTTGAAGGGATATCGGCAGGGAAAAGGATGTAGAGAACTGGACCAAAAAATCTGCCTTGTGGAACACCAACATCAACTGGATAGTAAGTGGAGAATTCGGTGCAGCAACGGACTAGGAAGGAAAGATTTGAGAGATAGGATTTGAGGACTAGGTATAAGGATTAGGGGAAATGGGTTTTGAGCTTGAAAAGCAAGCCATCGTGCCACACCCGGTCGAAAGCTTGCGCTACGTCCAGAAAGGCACCAGTGCAATATTGCTTGTTTTCAAGTGCAGAGGATATATGGTCCACAACACGAAGGCCTTTTTGGACAGTGGAATGTCTTGAGCTGAATCCAAATTGATGGGAAGGGATGTTGTGGGATTCCAGTATGGGTAGGATGCGTTTGAGGAGGATTTTCTCAAAGAGTTTTGAGAAGATAGGGAGTAAGCTTATCGGTCTGTAGGATGATGTGTTATTAACGGGTTTGCCTGGTTTTGGAAATAGCACGATTATGGAGTGTTTCCACATCAAGGGAAAGTTGGTAGTACGAAGGATGCAATTATATAGATAGGTCAGGAATATAATTGATTTTTTGGGAAGTTGTCTAAGGATTTGTGAAGTGAGGAGATCATATCCAGGGGATTTTCGGGGTTTTAATTTGTTTATGAGGAATTTGACCTCAGAGGGGTTAACTGGTTTTGGAGGTAGAGAGAGAGGAATTGATGAAGAGAGGAATCTTTAACTTCAGCAGTGTGGGTGAGATGGAGCTTGGGATGGGGAGTGAATGTGTAGGATAGATGTTTAGCAAACTCTTCAGCTCTATTCGCATCTGACGAGGCCCAGGAACCATAATCACGGCGGAGGGGGTGGGAAATGGATTGGAATTTAAGGATTTTTTTAGTTACAGTCCAGAGGGAGTTATCATTAGATGATAATGAGGAAAGGTAGGAATTGTAGGATTGGGTTCTAAAGATATCCAGTTTCTTTTTTACCTGTTTGGAATAATAATTATACGATTTCCGGTCATCAGGATGCCTGGTTCTTTGCCAGAGGGCCCTAGAGCATCGTTTGCTATGGATAAGGCCCAATAGGTCTTGGGGTAGAGGATTTATACTGAGGTGTTTTTTGGGACGATCAGGTGAGGATGCAGTCCAAACTGCTTGCTGGATCAGGGTAGTGAAGGAGTCCACTGCATCGTCAAGGTCTTCAGGTGTTTTTAAGAAAACTCTGAGGTCTATATTATCATCCAATATTTGACGGAAAAGGTTCCAGTTAACTGGTCCTCTGATAAATGAAGGAGGGGATGATTTAGGAATGGGTGATGTGGAAACGGTTAGTACTATAGGACTGTGGTCTGAGGAAAGATCATCAAGCCTTGAAATGGAACAGTGTAGTGATCCTAGACCTTTGTGTAGGAAAAAGTCTAGAAGGTCGGAATTGCGGTTGGGATCTGTTGGCCAGTATGTGGGAGTATTAGGTGAAAGGATGTTGCTGCGATGGGAATTAAGTAGAGATAGTAGTTTTCGCCCTCGGGAATTTGTGGATCTGGCTCCCCATTGTTGGTGTTTTGCATTTAAATCTGCACCTAGGATGAAATGGTGTCCTAAGGAATTCAGAAAGGAAATTATTTGGGATTCGGAAATGGGTATTTTAGGCGGGGAATATGCCGCAACTAATGTTATTGGCTAAAGGGAAGTTTGGATTATTACGGCAGTGGATTGTAGGAAATTATGGGTTGGTAAGGGAAATAAATGATGGGAGAGAGATCGGTGGATAATTATAGCAGTGCCAGCATGTTCTGTTCCATCAGGATGATCGGTTCTATAAATATTGTAGCCGGGAACGTTGATTTGTCGTTTGTTGGTTAGTCGGGTTTCAGTTATAAGTGCTATGTCGATTTTTTTTGTCATGTAATAAGATTGTCAGTTCGTTGATGTGATTTCGAATACCATTCGTATTCCATAGGAGAATAGAGAGGGATTTGGTTGAGGACATTTATGGATTTCTCGGCGGTGGAATGAGGTTGGATATAACATTGGTAAGTAATGAAATAAGAGGGGTGATGTGGGATCTAAATTCAGAGAGGAAAGAAGTTAATAGGCTTGTGAGGTCAGTGGAATTGGAAGGAGGAGAAATGTATGTCTGGGTATTGAACCTAGGTTCAGGGATGGAGGGATATGGGTCTTGAGGTTGATGTGTGAATTCTCGAGGTTGAGGTTCTTGTGGCAGGTCCTGAGATTGAGTGTTTATAGTGTCTCCTTTGAACATCTAAGGATAGGTCACTCTTCCGTTCACTGTTCTAGAGGGTTGTCTTGGTGGCCTGGATGTCCCTTCTTCTCTAGGCGTTGCGTACTTTCTTGTTTTTAATTCTTTATATGTTTGACAGCCCTTGTAGTTGGCAGGGTGCCCTTGGTGGCATAAAGCGCATACTGCAGGTGAAGTTCTAGACTTCCTACATTCTTCTGTTTTGTGTTGCTCACCACACCTCACACATCTAGGAATGTGATGACAATATCTTTTCGTATGGCCATAAGCCTGGCAGTTATGGCATTGAACGATGTCGCGCTTGCTGTAGGGCTTTTCTACAACAACGCTTGTATAATAAAGGCGTGTGACCTTGTAGATGTATTCGACATCGGGCGTTCGGTCAAGGTCAACGAAGAATAGTGGGAGCGGTATTTCACTTTTTATTCCAGGCTGTTCTCTATCCTCCTTGAATATGTTCACTATCTGGCGAACATGGGATCACATACCCACGATCTCTTCTTTTATAGCATCTGTTGGTCTAGATGGGTGCAGTCTTCTGATAACAACCCTGAGCGCTCTCTCTTGACGCAGTTGATACGTGTGGTAATCAGCCTTGGTGTCAGATAAATATTTTATAATTTTTCTATATGTTTCTGGAGTGTCGGGCATTAATTTAGAGTCATTGGTGCGGCTTTGGCATAAATATTTTCCTGAGCCCATTAGGTTATTCAATTGGTGACACATTAACTAAAAGTTTTTAATATTCCTAAAAAATATTGGTGGGGGTTTGGGTTCCCTGGGGGTGGGTGCTGCTTCCATTTCTTCGTTTGGTGTATTTGATAGCACCTGAAATGGGTTCTGAGTGAAAAACGGCCATTTTTCACCAGTCTGAGTTGTCTCATGATTGTTTTGTTGTTGTGAGGTACCAGGTTGGGGATCCACTTTTTCAA